TGTGCATGTCTGAGGTTTTGTTCTAATAATATGAGGCGTTTGCCTCCCATTCTTCACCAAAAAAAAAAATGTGTATATACTATATGGCATTGTGTGCGATAACGAAGAAAATTTTGAAATAGACACATTTTGATATTTATTCACAAGAAATAGACTCACTTCAATTTTATTTATAAAAACAGACTCTATTTCAGTCACGTCAGCATTCTTGAGTAAAACTAAGACAATTAAAAAAAACAAGGTTTGCTAATTAGACGGCATTACCAACCCTGTCTAATTAGTAGTTCAAAGTTCAAAATAACCATGGTCGATAACCACAGCTATTTAGAAACTTAGTTCAAAAACAGACGTAGGTGCCAACCAATGTTATTTTGAACTTAATTATCTTTATTAATCAAGCGGGGTTGCTAACCTCGGTTAATTAGTAAAATGCAGTTTTTTAAAAATCTAACTCTACTTCTGCAACCACGATGACATGGCTGAAACTGAGTTATTTTTATAAATAATAATCATTCATCTTGACTATCAAATCCAATCATAATTAGATTGTTATTATTAACTTCTCATAAAGGGTTGACTAATTTAGTCCTTCTTCTCAACCCCCCCCCCTCCCTCCCTCTTGTCAAACAACGGCACCAAAAGTTTAATATAGTTTATCATTTGGCTTGTGACACTAACACGATTGTATGATTGTTTTTTGGGAAAAATGCTTCCAGCCCCCAAAAGCCAAGTGAACATGCTTCCCACCCCCAGGACTTGGTCAATGGGTGTTTTACCCCTAAAAATAAAGAATCTGTTCTCTGAGCCCCCAAAACACAAAACCCAAGACATTAAAACATGTGAAGACCATAATACCCTTCTCTCTCTCTTTCTTTTTTTATTAAAATATGATGGAGGATTATTTTATTATTTTTGTTTTTTCTCTCTCTTTATCATGATGTACCAAGAGGATAGTTGAAATGATTGATGATGATTATTTTATTATTTTTGTTTTTTATTATTTTGGTTGTTTGTATTGGGAGGTTGTTAAAGTTACGGGTTGATTGTTAAGGTTACGGGTTGGTTGTTAAGGTTAAGGGTTTGTTGTTAAGGTTATGGATCCTCTCTCTCTCTCTCTTTCTTTTTTTATTAAAATATGATGGGGATTATTTTTATTTTTTTGTTCTCTCTCTCTCTTTATCATGATGTACCAAGAGGATAGTTGAAATGATTGATGGGGATTATTTTATTATTTTCGTTTTTTATTATTTTGGTTGTTTGTTTTGGGAGGTTGTTAAAGTTACGGGTTGATTGTTAAGGTTACGGGTTGGTTGTTAAGGTTAAGGGTTTGTTGTTAAGGTTATGAATCCTCTCTCTCTCTCTTTCTTTTTTTATTAAAATATGATGGGGATTATTTTATTATTTTTGTTTTCTCTCTCTCTTTATCATGATGTACCAAGAGGATCGTTGAAATGATTGATGATGATTATTTTATTATTTTTATTTTTTATTATTTTGGTTGTTTGTATTGGGAGGTTGTTAAAGTTACGGGTTGATTGTTAAGGTTACGGGTTGGTTGTTAAGGTTAAGGGTTTGTTGTTAAGGTTGTGGATTTATTGTGTAGGTTACGGATTTGTTGTTAAGGTTACGAGTTTAATTGTTAAGGTTACGGGTTTAATTGTTAAGGTTACGGGTTTAATTGTTAGGGTTACCTATCTAAAGATCCTCTTGGTACATCATGATAAAGAGAGAGAGAGAGAGAGAGAGAGAAATAATAAAATAATCATCATCATATTTTAATAAAAAAAGAAAGAGAGAGAGAATGGTATTATGGTCTTCACATGTTTTAATGTCTTGGGTTTTGTGTTTTGGGGGCTCAGAGAACAAAATCTTTATTTTTAGGGGTAAAACACCTATTGACCAAGTCTTGAGGGTGGGAAACACGTTCACTTGGCTTTTGGGGGCTGGAAGCATTTTTCCCTTGTTTTTTATAAATAGATACAATGATCGATCTTTATAATTATACACTTTAAAATTGCTCTGCCAACCTGAGGGTTACATTTTATTATCCTAGAACTAGTGAGTACTAATCTTTAGATTATAGCATCGGAAACTGTGTCATCCTGAAAGTATTTTAGTGTAATCTCGTGTATGTTTCGCATGGGTTAACAAACATGCTAACTTAAAATGGTTGGGATCAGCGCTTGTTTTTAAATGGATTATGACTGTTGGACTAATTTCATAACTAGAAGGACATTTTTAGCCTTCAGTTAACTAGTATTTATTAACACATTTGTTTGGCAAAAAGAAATTCGAACTTTGAGCATGACCTTGCATAGAAAATAGATAGAACAATTTTTCAAAACAGACCCCTTTAGAGTTTTATTTTTCAAAATCGACCGGTTTTTTTTTATTTACCAAAACCGACCCGATTTTGTGATTAACAACCTAATCACCATCCTAAATAGTCGGGGTTGGCAACCCCGACTATTTAGGAGGGTATTAAACCCTGATTAGATGCCTTAAACACTAAAAATTAAGGTCCTAAATAGTCGGGGTTGCCAACCCCGACTATTTAGGAAGGTGATTAGCTGGTTAATCACAAAATCGGGTCGGTTTTGATAAATAAATAAAAAACCGGTCGATTTTGAAAAATAAAACTCTAAATGGGGCTGTTTTGAAAATTTGTTCAAATAGATATACTGCTTTATATTTGCCATGATACGATAAAAGCCACCCTATTCATTCACCAAGACACAATCATAAAAAAAAAATTGTTAAATAAGCCTATGGTATATATTTAAATAAAGAAAATTAGATCTTTTATTTGTGTGGTATAGCATTTAGATCAAACTTCCAGAGTACCTGATGGGCTTGGGCCGGGTTTGGTAAACCCGAGTATAAAGGCTCCTCCAACTCCACTGACCGCAATCGATTTCTTTCGAGCTGCCACGCGAGGTAAAGGAATCCATCCACCTATGGTTTATTTTGTGCGTTCCTGATGTTCGCTTAAATGCCCCAACGATATTTATTTTGCTGCTGCTTAATTTTGCACGATATCCCTTTGCTTATGTAAGTGTTTGGTCGTAGTTGATCCCATTTATTATTATTATTATTATTATTATTATTATTATTTGGAATTCTGTTGCTTGATTTGGGTTATCTACTGAATTTTTTCTTCTTTTTTTTATTGTTATGGGGTCTCAAACTATAGAGTAAAATTGTTGATTTTGACACAAATACGGGATGGGTGTCATTTGTTACTTCATATTATCATGTTATATCCACTAAATTATAATGTCTCTTTTTTTAGTCTCCAGGTATTTTACTGTCAAAGGGTTCTAACAATGGCATTTTCATTTCTGAGGCCACGCTTCCCACAAATTTTCAAGTAAGCATCGCATACATATATATATAGTTGATTATAGGAGCAATTTTGTTTATCATCTATTTAAAAACCATTTTCCTTCGTAAACTACTACTAGAGAAATTTTTCATGTTAATTAAAATCTGTAGTTTGTGCTTGAAATAGGCAGCTGGAGAAAGATGTGGAAACTGTGATTGATGTTTTGCAACCCGGGCCACTAGGAATAATCGAGCACAAGTTTTCAGCTGCTGAAGTAAAGGAAGCCGAGGCAATCGTTAAAAGGGCGGTTGCAAATTGGAAAAGGAATTCTGAACTGGAAAGAAATGGACATGTTGTGAGCACTTCTGAAAATGAAAGATCGCCTCAGTGATGGTCCCTTTTTTTATTTGAATCTGCTCTAATTGTTATGGCTATTTTCATCTGCTTATATACAAATGTAATTTGCACCCTTTATCAGTTCAGTGCTACGTGAAACAGTAGCGGATGTATAAGTATTATGTTGGAGTCACCTGTTGAGATACTTGGTTCTTTCCTATTTCAGTATATTTAGTTCTTTGAATGTCTGAAAGAGAATTGAACAACAATGTACGTCCGGTTTCAGTTGTTATCATCGATATGAAACTTTTCCCTTTTTCATGATTATAGCCAAATTTAGCATCTGTGTGAAGGAAGCAGATGTGAGTGTTATACTCAAAGGGTATTTTGTTTAAGTTCAGGTTTTCACATAAAACACTGCCATATTTTTTTTAACGCTCCATGTAGATGCACATTTCAAGATCGAGAAAGAAGCTTGCTCGATGCAGCTACAACCTTTTCGAAGACCACTGTAGGTAAGTAGATTCTGAACTTTGTTGTCATTTATGCATAGCTTATAGCACCCAGTGATGAGATTTCTCACACCCAGGCATGTTTACCTGATTGTAAAGGATATTCAAAGAAGACATGGATGCAGAGCCTTTATTCTTATTCAAACCCCTCAGCGAACTGGCCTATGTAGGTGTATCTCTTATATTTTGTATTTCATTCTAAATAAGAAAAGAAAATATCTGCTCAATTTTTGACCCTATCTCATGTATTTCAGCATAATGACTCCAATAGTTCATGACGCCGGAACTAACAACAGTTGAGTAACCACAGGGCAAGAAGGTTTTTCACCCATCAATATGTATGTTCCACTCCCACCATTGTATTTTCTAACTATAAATTTGATGGCAATTGATGCAATTAGATGACAACTCCATTATATTTATATGGTTATGGTTCATTATAAATGTAACATTTAACTTATCCCGTGACTTGCACTTTTATTTATCATTTGTGACAATTCACAATCATTCACCAAATAATAGACGTTTCTTGTTAAGAAGTTAGTGGTCTCTCTGTTGCTTTTTAACAGTGGATAGAATTCAAATCCTAGTTGAAGCGTTGGATGTAGGCTTTTGAGATGAAGTAGTGATTGGATAGAGAGGACCCTACATGTAAGGCCGAGCACAACCTTTATTTAAAATGCAATCAATAGATTTACAATTTGAAATAAAAAAGAAAAGAAAATGTAAGCTCGATCAGAAAATTAAGATCCAGTTGTTTTAAATTGAGATTTAATTGATCCAAAAATTGTTGGCCGGAAGTTAATAATAGATACAATCTTTCTGATCTACTTGCTGCCTAAGGTTCATCCAAGCAAATCTTTTACCAGCTTGGTCATATTCGGTGTATTTTCTGCCTTTAGCCACACATTTTACATACATAACTTTCGGGCAAAGCAATTGGGTTCATGTATTGGTAAGTTCATTCATCACTCTGACCAGCAATCTTCTACTCCAAATCCTTCACAGAAAATTTGATTCAGGCACAACAATTGGTCGTCTACCATTTCATCGAAGGGCTAAAAATTTGTGTACATAATTCAAAACTTACAGCCTAAGCAGAAACATAAAAGAAAACTTGAGCATATATAGGTAAAGATTCTGCAGTATAAAACCTGCCAAAAGTAGATTACTTGCAGTGTACATTTTGAAGTTTTCGGTGTCATCCACTACTCTATATATGAGCCTCTTTCAGTCAAAAGAGAAGGCATCAGAGCAAGGCAGCAAAGAGAGAGAATTCTTTCAAACTCATCAATAAATTTGTTAGGTATATCTCAGTTTCTTCTCTAAAACTACTTTTTCCTTAACCTCTTGGTCCCCTGAGTTTTTCTTGGTCGAGGGGTGATGAATTTGTGCGACTGAAACTAGCAACTAATGCTAATTTCAATTGTTAGATTCATGCCAATTGGTGAAATATTAACTCTAGCACAGGATAATAGCTAAAATCATTGATGAGGCTTAACATCGATTGCTCATGTTCAAAATTCAATTAGATTATTCAAGATGCTTTGTTGCATAATTCCATACTGATCTATCTTTGAATAATGCAAGCAGAATTCAAAAATATTCCTTGATGGAGTTTGGTACCAAAAAGCTGATCAAACTTCAGGAAGTTGATGAGGAGTTCGTTCCCTTGAAAAATCTTTTCTATATGAACTCTGTCTCTCTTTCAACCTGCTGTCCTGTCACTGAAATCCATTGCAATGCAGAATTCATGGATACTCGAGAAGCTTGCTTGGATGCACTGTTTCTTTTCTCAGACAACTTACTACAAAGGCCTGCTAAAAACCTCGGTATCACTTATCATTGGCTCGTTTTGTCCAAGGATGTCATTACTAAAATTTTCAGTGATACAGGAGCATCAGTACATAATGGATTGATTGAGCCCTTTATTTATCTCAGCACCCACAGTACTGTGCCATCGACAGGTAATGTAACATTCTAGTGTTCTCTTTATTTCAATGTGAGTACATTCTTGAAGAGTTAACTTAAATATTTGCAGCATACTGAGCGCACGAGTTGATGATAAAGGATTGAAACATGTAGTATTTTGCCGGATTATGAGTCGAGACCTTCCTCAAGTGGTCATGACATGGAATCCAGATGTCGACAAGCATATTCAGCCACTTTATGTCGTGACTATAAAACCGGTTGGTAAAATAGAAGGTAAGTATCTACAATTCATTTGTGCATATTGCTAATATATATGTGCTGGTAAAAACAGTCTATGATACCATGTCAAGAATTGATAAAGAAGAAGTGTAAGAAGAAAAAAATACTAGAAAATGTTGTATTAAACAGAATAAAATGTTTCATTTTGGGGTTTCAGATTTATTAAGGAAGTATGATATCGAATCACTGGCAATGTCACCGCTAGTGTTGAAAAAGATGCCAGAAACTCTAACTATGCTTTCAGAGCATTTATCTTTGCCGATGATGTATTTGCTTAGGAAAGCTTTTAATGATTGTCAAGTAAGACATATTTCTTTTCTTTTCTTTTTTCCTTCTTTAGTTCGGTTTTATAGAAGGTGATAAAATATAACTAACATGTTTTTGTTTTTAATCATACAAATTTGATCCGACACAGGAACAGAAGATCCTTGTGAGTTGATGTCATCAAGGATGAGGGATAACTGGGGATGAATTGTTGGCTGGGGTTATGTGAATCCGATGAAAATGGGTTTCATGAGAAAGGTGTGACTTTTGAGTAGACTAGTAAGAGCTGCTTCTGAATAAGATTAGTTTCTTAATAGGAAAGAAAAAGAAAATTGGAGGAAACTATCATGGCAATGGGTTTATTGAGGATACCAGCGTCGTAAGTTTGTGACCTGGGAAATTTTATCTTGAAGTAAATGCTGGATTTATATAAAGGTGATATAAAATATAACTAATATGTTTTTTCCAGCTTTTTCCAGCCTCGTTAAAATAGAATTATGCATTAGCCAGCATTCGATGCTGCATCAGTTTTCTAGCATCTCAAAATTAAACTCTGAGAGCACATCAAACTACAAATTCACACTAAGAAGGCAAATATATAGAATTTTAACAAATATAAAGAATTTCGAAAGCGTACACTTCTTACAACGTAATTATCATGCAAAAGAAAATTGTTATTTCTTTACTTCTTTTCATTCATCATGTGATACAAAGCAAGGGCACAAAGATGAGTACGACGTCAAAAATAAACAAATCAAACTAATAATAAATTGAGTCGTAGGTTGGCTGCAGACTGCTTGGTATACATAATGATACAACCTGGGAGAACACGAGAATTGGAGCTTCGACTTCAGAGATGCATCACACTCCTAACATTATAACAATTTCTTTGTTATGAAATATTTCTCTCCCGCATTAATGATTCTATTTTCTCAACATCTTCAGGAGTGTCTACTCCATGAGCATCATGATCGACCTTGATCACCTGCAATAAAACAATAGAAATTGACATGAGAAATTGAGAAATAGATGGACATAGTAGGCGTCTGTGCTAGCACATATGAAGACAACAACATTGAGGAACATAAGGAACGATCTTCACATGGATAATAATTAGATTGTCTTACTAACCATATGCAAATAATAATAATAATAATAATAATAATAATGGTCTATTAAAGAAGACTATACTTTCCATATTAAACAGAGTGCTGCCAACTAGATCTAGATATTGTTATATATTTCTAAAAAGCTTAGGCTTATTATATTCACCAATGAGGTCCTAAATAAATAATTTGAACAAAAAAAAAATGCCAACATTTGTCCTTTCCATGCATTCTGATCATAATTGCAGGACTCGATTTCTTAAACTTACCTTCATCTTGTACCCGTTCTCAAGAACTTTAAGTTGCTCCAGGTCTTCTTCTAGTTGTAAAGGAGTTGGTGGAAGTTCTGGATATATATTCAAAAATTTTGAATCATAACTCTGCTTAGGACAAGGATATTGATATTAGCGGATGTTAGGAGCAAAATTATATTAGTATATTGGTATTGGAATATTTGGAAGGGACAGCCAAACCTGAATCCCGAGATGAAGCAGATACGGGAAATGTGGGTTAACTTTTCCTGACCTGAATTATAAAATGTGCATACAAAATAAAATCAATGAATTAGCAAACGGAAAAAAAACAGTACAAGAGAAAATTGTGACCATATTGATATATTGTGAAAGAACTCACTTGTTAAAAGGGATCAATCCCCTGGAAAAATAAATTGCATAACCGTGATTGTTAACCACACATTTCACACGGTTTGGATCAAGGGCATCTTCTGGTTTCAAGGATGTGACAGCAGTGCTGAATACTGCATCAGGAGCTCCCTGTAGCACATAATGTGCTGCAGTTAAAATATATCGATAAACTGATGAATATAATACATTGAACGGAGAAATATTGTACTGTTTTCAAGGTGACTCAAATCCGCAGCATGATGCAACAAGCATGGTAGTCATGCAACATAGAGATAACAAAAGATTTTATTCAAATAATATGACAAAACTATATTAAGCAGGCTGCAACCAAATAGGTGGAATCGCAGACAATGTTTTAGTACATCGATAGCATAATTTACTTAAAATAAATCATGCCCTTGTTGCTAGTAAAAGGAGATATTTTCATCTGGGAATAACAAGAATAAGGTTTCCTCTCTCATTATAGTCCATAATCTAATGGCTTGTGAAATTCTAGAAATATCAAGTTATGACGAGAATACAGCAACTAGTACATTAGGAAAAATAATCACCTGTAAAGCTTTAACAACACCATCTATTATATCTGGTTCAATAAGAGGCTCATCTCCTTGTATATTGACAACTATGTCATAATTCTTGCCAAGCTTTTTAAGTGCTTCATTACAGCGCTCAGTTCCTGCATATAAATAACCTCTAACCTTTACCAAACATTTAAACATAGGCATATACGGGTATTAAATGAAAAACAGCCATAGAAACTTTCAAGAGAATACCGTTTTTACAAGATTCTGATGTCATTATCACATCTGCTCCAAATCCTCTACAGCATTTGGCAATTTTCTCATCATCTGTTGCCACAACTGCATAACAAAGCAAAAGGCATTGGTAAACCACTTGCAGAATTATAATATTAGGAACAATCGATGATATAGATGTATGCTAAATATTAGACTAAAACATATAAACAGCATATTACATCAATTATTCATCAGCAATCCAGATTATTTCAGTTCGCATGAGCTGGATTGAGATTCAAAACGAATCATCTATTACCTATCACTATTATATAAGAAAGCCACACTTTTGGTTCTACCCCTATGTGTGTCAAAATTTCAAAAAGTTCAACATATGTCCTCAACAATTTATTGTACTTTGAAACTGATTAGAAGGACAAATTTAGAAAGATCTAAAAGTACCCTAATTACAATCCACTACTTGATAAATTCCCCCACTCCCCACATTTTGTAATAGTAAGATACTTTATGTCGTTTTTGGCAATAATTTTTCCAAAAACCTATTCATATTAGTATTGATTATTAAGGTGTTAAAAACACTCTTTTTTTATGCACAAGTTTACTATGTAATGCGCGCATCTTGTGCTCCGAAGAACTAGTGTAAATAACGTAAAGCCGGTACCAAATTTTAAAAGACTCTATAATTTGTAAAATAAAGCAATAGCAACAATAAATAACGTAAAGCCGGTACCAAATTTTAAAAGACTCTATAATTTGTAAAATAAAGCAATAGCAACAATGCATAGCCATATTCAAACTTACCGACATGGTCCAAGGTCAAGGCCAACTTTGATCTCTCCCACGTTCTCTATTAACCAAAAAAAAAATCAAAAAAAAAAGTAAATGAACTAGAAAAGTTGGACACTTCAACTAGAATTGAGCTAGGCTACTATACAATATCTGAGACGAACGTCCTACATGTTTGAATTTAAAATTTCGATTTCTAAATTGATAGATGATATCTGTAATCTGTATGGTTGGATCTACTACACTACACATCAGCTAGATGATTTCAAGGTGTTTTAACCATGCATCTTTGTCAAAATCTACGTTCCAGAATTTTAACAAAATTATAAACTTGCCGAAATCATCAAAATTTTCGTCTCTAGACTGTACATTGTTGCATTATCACATCTTAGGTACAGCTTATCAATGTAGAAATTGGAATTTTAAACTTAGATCAATAATATGAGCATCTTGTTAATAATAACCTAGCTCAACTCCTGCAAAGCGTCAAATTTCTCCAAGGTAAATGGCTAATTTCACAAAATTAAATCTTTCTACGAAGTTATTCAACAATGGATACTTCTACGAGTAAAAGAGACAAATTTGAATTACCCGGATCATGGGTTTGCCGAGAATATGGACGAGGGGTTTGCCCTCGAACCGGGTCGAGGCGAATCGGGCCGGGATGATTCCGACGACTCTGGACCGGGACTTTCTGAACCAGCGGAGGCCGAGGGCCGCGTGGGCGGCGATCGCTGCGCCCAGGAGAAGACCGTTGACAACCCAACCTCTTTTGCTGTCGGCCGACAAAGAATCCGACGACGGAGCGGAGATCGCCATCGACAATCGATCGTGTACTTGAATTTGGACCCGTCTAGTGTAATTAATGACTGTAATTTTCAAGGGATTTTTTTTGTTGGGCCTTGGATTGTTGCTTTAGATTTCGATCTAAATTGGTACAGGACAGCATGCTTTAAACGTGTTGGGCTGCACAAAAAACAAAAGGACTCGTAAATGGGCTAAATAGCAATCTACTAAGGTTGCAGATAAAAAAACATAAATGTAACATTAGGCTAAATAGCACTTAAATATCTTATACTTTCACTCAATTTGCATTTATATACTCTTAGGTGTATTTCACATCATTTATATACTCTAAGTTATTTAAAGTTGCCACTTTGATGCCCTCTCCCATGTTGACAAGAAAATTTTCGCGAGATTATTCTTATACGACACTCTCAGCTAAATGATTTGGAGTCGAAAATTTCTCAGCCGTTTGATACATCAAAGTGAATAATAAACAATTCCGTATTAATTTTTTTTCCTGTAATATTTCACAAACCAAGGGGTTTTTTGTAAAAATAATGTTAGAGGCACACCACCCACTACAACCACAACCCCAACCACACTCCCCCCTCTCATTACTACAGTAAATCGGGCTTCACATGGGATTTTAAAAAATTTAAAATCTCATGTGAGGCCGGGTTTACTGTAGCAATGAGGGGGGAGTGTGGTTGGGATTGTGGTGGGTGGTGTGCCCCTAACACCACTCTTTTTGTAACTCCAAGAAAGTGGAGTAGTTATATTGACATAAAACTCTCATTAAAATGCTAATGATTTTTTATAGCGATCCCCACACTAGTACGCAACTGCAATTTCGTAATCTACCGTCAATTGCTTCGTCGCGTGTCTCTGTGGAAAAACAAAGAATTTGAGTGAGAGAGAGAAACCCTAACCCTTGCTTGATCTCTGATCTCTCGAATCTAATCTCTATGGCCTCCGGCGGATCTTCAGGCCGAACCTCGTCGGGTCCGAGATCGTTCGATTTCGTCTCCGATGACGTGCTCTGCGCCTACGATGACTACACCAACCAGGATCCACCCAACGGAAACCGATCAGATCCATCGCCAAAGGTAGAACCTTTTATGTATTACGATCGAACCTGGGCTCGAATCTGCGCCAGCGGAAAGCGATCAGATCCATCGCCAAAGGTAAAACTTTTCATATACTCCGATCGAATCTGGGCTCGACATCTTCGGTTGTTTGTGGATAGGCAATGAACTTGACCGTTTTAGTTGAGAATTCTACGGTAAAGTTATAGGAACTAACTCAATTTCGTTGAAAGTGGACAAGTTGCAATTTTGGGTTTCCGTAATAACTTTGTTTTTTAAAGCGCGGGTTTTGTGTGTGGAAATGTAGAGCCTGTTTGGATTTGTAGGGGGTGAAGGGAAGTTAAGTGAAACTAGGTGAGAGAATGGAATGGAAGGGAAGGGAGTTCCCTTCCCCTTGGTTACACCCCAATTTGGGGGTAACAAATTTTATACTATTAGGGGGTGAACTAAGGGGCACTAGGGTGAATAACTTCACCTCCTAAATGTTCCCAAACAAGGTGAATGGAGGTGAATGGTTCCCCTAACTTTCCTTCACCCTTATTCCCCTCAATCCAAACAAGCCCGTAGTCTGTGATTTTCGGTGAAAGAAAGTATATATTCTTTGCAAAAATTATTTAATTGCTTGATTAATTGTCAGCACAAACTCAAGTTGTGATCTTTGTATAAGGGTGAAACGTTTAAGATTGTTTAAGTAACTCTTTGGTGTTTAGCATACTTAATTCTCAGTGTTTTATTTTGCTGTTACTGGTATTGGCTTAAAATTGAATTTTCTTCATCCTGCTTGAAGTTACCATCAGGGGTTTTTGAGATGTATGGTGATCGGTGAATGTTAAGGATGAACGAGTTGAATTGTATTCTTTCGTAATTGATAGCAATCGTTGTCTACATTCAAAATTTGAAATAACCATTTTGATGACGATAAGTTTCCGTAACTTCTGTTTGAATAAGATTTACCCTGGGCAGACATGGTAAATTTCTTGTGCGTAAAGTCCTTTCAGCTTGAACGTATGCCCACACTAGGTCAGGTGTCTATACACATTTCCAGTCATGGTTTCATATGTAAAATTATTGAAAATTGTGCTGTTTGGTTTGGTTAGTTGTATCCTGTCTACATGCAATAATCAAAGATGCTTACGGCTTCACAAACACTCAAATGAGTGGAGTTAGCTAATTCAAACCGTTTAGAGAATCACTATCTTTTGCATTTGGGCTCCCAGCTAAATGTATACCTGATGATATATTATTTCTATTCAATTTATGTTCCTTGATTGTTGTTTAATGATGAAAAATGGTCCAGCTTTTGTGGTCCTACCCCATGTTAGATGGGAGGTCTGCATGAATCCCATGAGATGACTCTGGGTTTCGAATATAAGTTGATATAAGGCAGGGATCCAGGCCTGATTCACATAATATAGTAGCATGCCAGCAATTAGCTTTACATCTTTGGATGGTGTTTCGAGCAGCTAGTTGTATTTCTTTGTATCGTAGTGATCTAAAAAAGTGTACCCATCTTTTTTTAATTGTGAAGGGTTTTCATGAAAGCAGAATGGGAAGACAGTTGGTTAGTGTTTATGGTCAACAAGATGAATATTCAAAAGAAGAAATAATAGATGCTGTTGAGAAGTGCATGAAAAAGTATGCTGACAATCTATTGCGCCATCTCGTTGGGATCACTGGACGGTTGTCACAACTGGAGATATATTGCTCCAAACTCGAGCAGTCAATAGGTGAATTTCAAGCTGATATGATCCGTGATCAGAGTCAAGCTGATACAAAGCTCAAGTCTCTTGAAAAACATCTGCAAGAAGTAAGTTATGTTTTGCTGCTTCTCTTGAACTATCACAATTTTTATTGGAGGCAAATCTGAGTAATTACACTGTTATCTGAGGGAATCTCAGCATAATTTCTAGTTTTTTTCTAAATAAGAAGCCTTAGTCACATAGGTATAAATATATCTAATGTTTCTATCTATCTAATGCCAATCCGCTTTTTGGTTAGCCGTGTCACCTAGTGAAGATTGCCATGCATTGTAGATCCTGAGTACATACACTGATACACATACTATAATGAACACTATTTGAGCTCCATTACGCGTGTGCAATGCTTGTTTGACAACAATGCTCCATGGACCGAATATGGGTACCATGTTGGAGACATCTAGCCATGCCGAATCTAGAACTTCTGTTTTTCAGGTTTAGGATGAAGTGTGTACTATTTCTCTAGTTGGACTGGTTATTTGATAGGCCAACGAGGTTTATACATCATCACCGGCTCGTACGATCTTGATTAGGCCAATTTTGAGTTGAATTTGTTCAAACTAATTGATTAATTTTATTCCAAATTAGGTCAATGTAGGAGCATGCTTCCTATTGCCCTTGAAATCACTCTTTCAGTTTTTCCTTTCACTTTTCTTTGGTAAATGAATAAATTTCATTGCCAATGAGCGTTATATACAGGACTGACTAAGGCATTGTAAGTTTAACAAAATCCCCTTGGGGAATCACAACAACTGAATATAAAAAACTACTCATAAAAGCACTATACAAAGAACTCATGACGAGTCAAGCTAACATCTAAAAACCCCTGGAACAGGCCTATGCAAAATTGAAGTGAGAATACAGGTTTTAATCTGTTTTCGCTTTTCTTTCTTATTCAATGTTTTCTGTTATCTTCTTGTGCTTGCACTCGAACATTGACTATTGCATACGAATGGCGAGATATCTTCACAGTGAATGGGTCGGTTTATTTCAATTTTCTCTGATGTTTACTGTTGTATTGCCAACATTGCACTCAAATAGCGAAGGAGAAAGGGTTAGGTGTGGTATTTAATTTATGTTATTGAGTGTTGGTTTGGTTTGGACCAAACGCATATTTGGCAGATTTGGCCAGAGGGACTTGGATTGGACCCAACCAATGTTTTGGCCTTTAGCTACTCCACTATAAAGAACAAATCATGATGATCAAGTTCCATTTAACATGGTTGCATATTGCACCTTAGACAACATGGCCCCAGTAGTCACTGTATCTGATGAAAGACAGAGAGAAGTTAATATGTATTTGTATCTCTCACCTTTGAAGCGAAATTTCCTTGCTTTCCCTTTTCTTTTTTTCTTTTTTTTCTTTTTTTTGCATCTCCCACATCCAGTTTTTAGTATTATCAGTTTATGACCTTGTTTATAGTCATGCGGAACACATGAATAATATTTGGTGAATATGATTTGGACTTGGATCCTTTACTGCCACCTTTGAAGTGAATATAATAAATTACATGATATTCCTTTTTTTTCTTTGATAATCTTCATACTAAAATATCCAACCTTCATGTTTCTGCTTGCTTTTTTTTTAATTTGTTCTTAGATTTCATGTTGTATTTTTCAATAAACAGCAGTGCATGCTGCTGAACATAAAATCTGTCGGTCCTCTTTTATATCAAACCCAATAATGCCCATTTATTTACAGAGGAAACTGATTTCCTTCCCTAATTACTGAGCTTATCAAACATGATAAGGATGCTAGCCACAGAAACCTCAAAATTCTTCTTGGTTATATCAGGTCCACAGGTCCATTCAAATTCTCAGAGACAAACAAGAGCTTGCCGAAACTCAGAAGGAGTTGACCAGACTTCAGCCAGCGCCCAGGGAATCTGCCTCTACTACCAAGTATCAAAACAACGATGACACCATCGCATCATCGTCAGTTCCTGAGCCCAAAAGGCAGGATGACACACCAAACGTTCCCAGTCAGCACTTAGCCCTTGCTTTGCCCAACCAGATCCCAGTATCATCCTCTGTTCCCACTAGAACTCCTGAAATGAATCAGCTTCCAATTCAGCAGCAGCAGCAGCAGTCACCTGCTCTTCCCTCTAACCCTCCACATAATCACTACACACCACAACAACCAGTCCCCTTCTATTCTCAGCAGAGCCAGGCCTGGCAGCCTGAAACACAAGCACAGTACATACAACAGAGAGCTCAAATTCAGGAACCAAGCCGAGCACCACCACCACAACATCAGCCTCACATAGCAAATCAGCCCCAAAATCCACAGCCATTCCCTCAATAGAGCACCACCACC